ACGCGTCGAATTACCACGCGTAGAATTACCACGCGTCGAATTACCAGCGCGCCGAACTACCACGCGTCGAATTACCACGTATCGAATTACCAACGCGTGGAATTACCAGCGCGTCGAATTACGAGCGCACCGAACTACCACGCGTCGAATTACCACGTATCGAATTACCAACGCGTCGAATTACCAGTGCACCGAACTACCACGCGTCAAATTACCAGCGCACCGAACTACCACGCGTCAAATTACCACGCGTCGAATTATCAAGCCCCGTATCACCAAAACCCCAAATTACCACGCATCGAATCACCACGTGCCAAAATACAACGCGTCGAATTACCCCAAATCCCTACGCATCGAGTCGCCACAAATCGAATAACCTCGCGTTATATCGCCACTCAATAATACCCGCCCAAATTAGAAACGATAAACCATGCACCATATGCACCGTAAATCGACGTTTATCACAGTTCGTAATTTAAAATCGACGTGTAAAAGCAGAGTTTGTTGAGTAAATAAATTTTTCGGGTCGCATTAATTGTTCCAACTGGAAACAACCGGTGAATTGTAATCGTTTCGTCGATAAATTGTTACGTGTGGCTGCTACTCTTCGGGGCTCACGTGCAGAGGTCCCGTTTTATTTATTCATACAACAGTGCACGCTTTTTGCACGTGCAATTTACTGCTACAGAAACTACGCTCTCTATACTACGTATCAATATGTTAAATAGTTCCATTACAATGCAAATATACGTCTTGTTTTTCATGAGACATGAATTGCCGAGGAATTTTTGAAGTTTTCTTTGCATTTCCTTTGGGAACTTATTCTGATGTATTCTGTAATGATTGACTTGTACTACTGAGTAACGTTTTAAATCTCTAAGGATTGAGTCGTACTACTGCGTACGATATTGTTTGGTATTATGTACATATTTTGTTTGCAAGAAATAATGCAATGTACTAGCAGAGATACTCGAAGCTACTTTTGTTCAATGTGGTAGGTACGTGCATGTCTACTCAATTTTGCTCAATACTACTTACGATTGTATCCGTTTGAGCAAGTTTAAAAATGTAATTGTTCTATCTACAGTGAATGTACAGGTTCAAACTCGTGACTGTGAGTTCGCAACAGAATCCTGATTTTTAAGAAAATTGAGAAAAGTTCAGTCGAGTAGAATTTTTAGTCAAATTAAACAAGACTGAATTTATATGGAATTCGGTAACAATTAATAAAGTGCTTAAACGTAACAAAGTATTTCGATCAGAATTCGTTGAGAAGATAATTTCTAACGGGCACCACTGAACGAGCACACAAAAACTCAGACCCGAACGAGCTGGCCAAAGGTATCTACCGTGTGCCTGTCTGGGACGTTCGATACCTGAATCTTCCTTCCTCCAGTACTTTGCATGTTCCGGAGTTCCGGCAAGGATTTCCAAAGCACGCGTCAATTTTATGTTCACACCGGTCCCCATGATATCCTGGCGCGCACTTGCAACGGAACTGCCGGTCCGGGAGCGTCTCGCAAAATCCTCCGTTTTGGCACGGCGAGGTGTAGCACAGGTCGCACTTGGCCAAGACTTCGGCTGGCTGTTGGTTGGCTGCGCGGAAGAAAGGTCTACGATTAATGAGCAATTTTAGTACCCCATTGTGAAGACGGGCCAAAAAACCATCAACTAAACCAGACTGCGTCATGGGCCAGTGAGAAATCAAAAACATCTTGCACGTGCACGGGGCACTCTTTCGATCGCGATGCAACAGTCTCCAGTTGTTTGATCACACATTATAAATTTTATCAAATAAATTTTTATTTGGACTGATATTATTCTTTTTATGTTATATGGAACTTTGTGATAGTTGTGAGAAATTGGTCTGATTGGTAGACTGACATGTGTAGTCTGATATGTGGCACAGTAGATTCAGACATATGTAGTCAGACATGTGACAGAGTAGATTCAGATTTATGTAGTAAGACACATAGCACAGTAGTATCAAACATATACAGTCAGACATTTGTTAAGTAGTATATCTAGTCAAACATATGTGGTCAGGCATATGTCAAGTAGTGTATGTAGTCAGACATATGTGAAGTAGTGTATGTAGTCAGACATATGTCAAGTAGTGTATGTAGTCAGACATATGTGAAGTAGTGCATGTAGTCAGACATATGTCAAGCAGTGCATGTAGTCAGACATATGTCAAGTAGTGTATGTAGTCAGACATATGTCAAGTAGTGTATGTAGTCAGACATATGTCAAGTAGTGTATGTAGTCAGACATATGTCAAGTAGTGTATGTAGTCAGACATATGTAGTCAGACATATCTAGTTAGACATGTATGTCAGATATAACATGTCACATTAAAATTGGACATACAAAGCCGCATATACATATGTTACAATAAAATTGGTCATGTGTAGTCAAAAATTACATGTCACAAGAGTATAAAACATTTGTAGATAAAAAATTATACGTCACAGTAGAAGTGCACATGTGTGCATATGTGTCTGTCAACATATATTTAACTTTTGCTATTACACATGTCTGACTACACACGTCCAATTCTCCTGTGACACATAACGTCTGATTACACATGTCCAAATCTACTGTGACATATACTGTCTGATCACATATGTCCAAATCTACTGTGGCACATTGTCTGACCACATACGTCCAATTCTACTGTGACGTATGATGTCTGTTCACGCATGTCCAATTCCCCTGGGGCACATGTCTGACCACATATGTCCACTTCTACTGTGACATACTGTCTGACCCCACATGTCCAATTCTACTGTGACACAGTCTATCCATGCATGTACTATTCTCCTGTGGGACATTATGTCTGACCACATGTGTCTGCTTCTACTGTCACGTGTATTGTCTGATTACATATGCCCCTCATGTGTCCTAATATCTGTACACTACTTCTACATGTCACAAGCTTTAAAATATATTTTTTCCAGTAAATTGAGTCAGGTAAAACATTAAGTATGACAAGTAGATGAAGTCATCTGTGAATCTTACAAGAGATATTCAAAGACAGTACTTCTAATAATTGAACAAGCAGATAATTTGATTGCACGATTGATTGAAAGAAGATAACAACTGGTGACTTTTGCCACGATCTCCGATATTTGTCGAGGAAGTACATACTTTTGCATTGGAACGCAACGGCAGGTGTCGTCAAGAGCAGCTTGTCCCTCATCGCCGGAGGTTCCATACATCTGGCTATACCGGCTTCCAGGAAGTCCTTTTTCACCCATTCGGCCAACCATCGCATGCTACAGTCACAGTAGAGCGGGTTGGACCCAAGAGCGCTATAAACACAAGCCCAGTCGGTAAATTATCGACACCGTGAAAGCAGTGTGTTCAGTAACGCGAGGGTTATACTCACAGGTGAGTCATAGATTTAAGATCCTCGAACGCGCCCTCGGGGATCACCGATATGTCGTTGCCGTGCAGAGACCTGGATGTAAAATCAGAATTTTAAATGCTTCCTCGATATATGGCCGCTGAAAGGACTCTTACGGATCTCGATTGTCACTGAATTACAAATTTTAATTTTGGATTGAAACTGAATTATGAAATCTTTATTAGTGAATGACGTTTATTGTCTATTTATTGGAAACAAGTTATTAATTGCAGAGTTGACAAAATTTAGTGGTAAATTGATTAAAAGTGGTAAGTTTTATAATGAGTACTTAAAGAGGCATGCGTCGCCGACTTTCTGGATGTATACACGTTAATAATATGTGAAGATAATGAGATCAAAAGTGCAGGCCTGCCAATTAAATCCGCGGAATATTCGGCAATTTGGAAATAATTTAAACGATTCAATTGAACCTTAATGTAAAATTGATGCACGTTATTAACAGAGTATCATTACACTGTTCACATTATTAATACGATATTATTGGGTATTACTACCATTCCAGCATCACTAATACGATTAATGAATTCGTATTGACATTATTGTACCGCTTTCACTTGATCAGATAATCATTCGCTATTGTAAAACGATAAATTTTCTTCATAGTACTGTTAATGTCGAATAAATTCACAATGCCGTCCGCCAAATTATTTATCCCGGTAATTTCTCGCGGCGGCAGTTAATTCACGGAACGAATTATAAATAATCACGTTCAGAAAGGACTGTCGTTCCTCAAAATGGTTGCCGCGAAGAAATTAATAACGCAATCAGCGAAAATAAACGTTGCCCGATAAATCACAAACGGTACGAACGAACGTGAAATCTCGGCCCCCCGTTAATTTAACACAGATTGCATCATTGGTTTCATTTGTTCCATTATCGAATATTAACGCGCGTTCCGTTATCGATTGTTCCGCCTCTTCGTTCGGTGTTTTACAGAGGATTTCGCCTGTGGATAGCGAAAAAGCGTGTCCGGAAGCCGGGCTCGTTTCATTCAGAAATTGTATTTTCGGAAGAAAAATGAGCCCGTTTGTTCGCGTGGCGAACGCGATGCCGCCCTCTTTTACCGCGGTTCTACCCGGCAATTCTTTGCCAGTAATTTATCGTGGACATTCGGGATTATCGAATCAGCGAAACAAAGATGTAAATCTACGCATTGTTCGCGGACAGAAATAATGCAATTTGAAACTCACATTATTCTCAGTGATTTCAAGCCGGCCAGGGCGTTCCGTTGGACGCACTGCAACTTATTGTAGCTGATAATTCTGTCGATGGAAAAAATGGTGGATTAAATTTTGATGATACTGTATGATACGAGGAGTATTTTGTAATATAGAGTTAAAGATAACACGTGGTATTGTGGTACGATTGCTGGAATTTACGTTATGCATGCACTCTGTTAAAGTGGCTTAATGTGAAGTACGTGGTTTATTGTAATATGTTATTTTATAAGGGGTGAAACTGTGGGAATAAGTATTGGGGTTGAGTATTAGGTATTTAGGTACTTAAGTGTCGAGGTATTTAGGTAAATAGAAATGTGGTATTTAGTAATTTGAGTATTCGGGTACTTAGGTATTTGGGTATTTAGGTACTTATGTACTTGGGTGCTCAGGTATTTGGGTATTTAGGTATTTGGGTGCTGAGGTATTTGGGTATTTAGGTACTTGGGTGCTGAGGTATTTGGATATTTAGATACTTAGACATTTAGGTATTTCAGTACTTAGCTATTTGGATACGTAGTTACTTAGGTACATAGGTATTTAAGCACTTAGGTACTTGGGTGTTGAGGAATTTAGGCGTTTAGGTACTAAATTAGGTACTTAGACACTTAGGTATTTCAGTATTTAAGTATTTGTACACATTGGTACCTAGATACTTAGGTATTTGGGTACTTAGGTACTTCGGTGTTGAAGAATTTAGGCATTTAGGTACTTGGACACTTAGGTACTTCAGTATTTAGTCATTTGAACACTTAGGTACCTGGGTGCTTAGGTACTTAGATACTTAGGTATTTTAGTATTTAGGTACTTGCATACTTAATTATGTAGATATTTAGCTACTTAGATACTTATATATTTCAACATCCAATTTGGGCATTTAGGTATTGGAGTATTTATGAATTTAACACATAGATACTTAATGAGGGTATTCAGCCCTTAGGATATTTAGTATTATGGATATTCAGGTACTTTGTCATTAGGTACTATGTTCTTCAAAGTATTAGTGACTTGACTATGTAGGTACATGAATATGAGTCTGAACAATATACTTCATAAAAAAGTAACAAAATCAACAGCAACTATACTGATCATAAAGATGATGATATTTAACAATATCCTTATGAACATCAACTGAGAGATTCAGAAAATTTTCTTCACAAAAAGGTTAACTTACAGGTGAGATAATTTGGTGAGGTTCCTAAAGGTGTCATTCGATAACATTCCTATCTGATTGTTGCTGAGGTCCCTGAGAACAAAGAAAACGCAAGTTGGTTATCGTTATTTTCAATTTCTGTCGGACGGAAGTAGAGGAACGAAAAGTTTTGCTCGTATATTTTATTTACAGTTTAGTGAGAATCCTCAGGTGGTTCAGTCTCTCTGGCTGGATCGTCTTGATGTTGTTCACGTCCAAATACAACTCGGTGGTTTCCGGTGGTATCCCACGTGGAATCTCCGTAAGCTGAGACCTCGAACACCTCACCACTGACCCGGCGCAATTACATTGGGGTGGACAGTAATCGTCTCCCAAGCAGCCCACGCTGTCGTCTATGGATTCGTCAGATAAACGTGTAAAAATATTACTACAATATTAATACATTAGGTACTAGATATCAAGGTGAGGTACTTATTGTTAGATATTTGAGTATTTGAATTATTATTTTAGATATTTGTTTATCGAGGTGTGGAAATATTTGGGTGAAAGGATCATTTGGTATTTGAGTGGGAGGATATTTAGGTATTTAGGTACTTAGGTAGTTTGATACTTAGGTAATTTGATGCTTAGGTGATTTGATACTTAGGTAATTGGATACTTAGGTAATTTGATGCTTAGGTAATGGGATACTTAGGTAATTGGATACTTAGGTAATTTGATACTTAAGTAATTTGATGCTTAGGTAATTTGATACTTAGGTAATTTGATACTCAGGTAATGGGATACTTAGGTAATTTGATACTTAGGCAATTGGGTACTTAGGTAATTTGATACTTAGGTAATGGGATACTTAGGTGATTTGATACTTAGGTACTAGGATACTTAGGTAATTTGATGCTTAGGTGATTGGATACTTAGGTAATTTGATACTTAGGCAATTTGATACTTATGATTACTCGTGCACCAAGGTACTTAGGTACTCAGATACTCAGATACTCAGGTATTTAGGTACTTCAGTACTCAAATACTCCCATATGTATGTACTCAAATCTTAAGTTTCAGATACAAGGTACTTTAGCACATGTTGCAAACTGCATTATACCCTATTATTATCAAGTATTAACCCTTTGCCCCACAATATCGTGACGCACTCGTGACACACCAAGTACGTACTTGATAACCCAGACATTTTCATCGAAATTAAACTTTGTGTTCTCTTCTAATAATTTTAAAGAATCATTGAATACATCCCTAACATTTTTAACTTCTTTTATTCCTCGCATTATAAGTATTTGTGCAAATCATCTGTCTACAAAATTGTAAGCTAAAGAGTTAATTCTGAAGGACTATAATACAATTTCTAATAGAATTTCTGTAACTTAAGACTGTGAAATATTGTGTGACATTTCGAAATATGAAATAAATGATCATACTGTTGCATTTAAATTCGTGATGAGGAATATCCTTGATGGTCGCATCCTTCAATCTTGGCGGGTCATGACAGTGTCCTACGACCTCAGACATGTCGCGTTTCCTCAGCCATCCGGCGAACCACGCGAGATGACAATTACACGACAAAGGATTGCCTTGCATGTTGCTGAAAACGCCAGGCAATTTATTCGGTTGTCGTTAATCGCTCGGGCCATAAAATATTCCGAACGGAAAGAATTAGCCGGAGAAATCAAATCGCCCGTGACGCGTTTAGACATGCAATAATAATTAATGAATTCATATCCCGGTATCGATCAACCGTAATTCATACGATTATTCTGTAATACTATTATAATTCAATATTTGTACGGTGACGTGAATCTATCCTCTCAAACGGATTCTCTATTAATTATCGCATTCCTCTTTGCGTTATAACATTCGAGCGGCTAAATGCACATCGGCTTTGATAACTCGTTGCTTTTATTTTCTGTGGTTTATACTGATATTAATAGTTCAATATTAATTCTGTATTCATTCAGATGTCACTTTATTAAATTATTTGGGAAGTTTTTGACGTGTTAGCAAAATCAAAACTTCACAAATAATGTTATTATTAATTGTATCAATTATTAACAATTTTTTATTGACGTCATCGACCAGATGTCTGTTTGTAAATTTTTTTATTGACATTCTATCTACGTGATATATGGTTTTAAATTTTTTATTGATACATTGTCAGCTGAATAAATATTTTTTAATTTTTTATTGACATATTATCAGCTAAATAAATATTTCTAAATTTTTTATTGACACATTGTCAGCTGTATAAATATTCTTTAATTTTTTATTGACACATTGTCAGCTGAATAAATATTTTTTAATTTTTTATTGACATAATGTCAGCTGAATAAATATTTTAAATTTTTTATTGACACATTGTCAGCTGAATAAATATTTTAAATTTTTTATTGACACATTGTCAGCTGAATAAATATTTTAAAATGTTTTACTGACACATAAAATTGATAAATAATATTTTTAATGTTATTAATTTTTTATAGAAGTGAACATCGAGTACGTGATTTATATTGTCACCAAAAGAATGAATATAACTTACATGATGCGTAGGTGACTCAATCCGTCGAAGGCGCCCTGCATGATGCAGGTTATGGCGTTTCCATGAAGGTTTCTGTGAAAATGATGTTAGAAGGGGATACAGTTTCCCGTGATACGGGTTTACGACCGCGTATAAAAGTTTCTACTCACAGAGTCTTAAGATTCGTCAAGCCGGTGAACATCTTGTTGTGAACTTCCCTCAGCCTGTTCTCCGACAAGAGTCTGTGAAACGAGAACTCGTTATTTCACGGGACAAGAACGCTGCGTAAAGTTTTCGCATATTGAAGGAAGTATTAGATCAAGCATGAAATCTTGCAAATAAAACTTTCTCCATTTTTTTTAATATCGTTCATTTTTTTTTAAGGCAACCTTGTACCTTTTCGATGGTAATTTATTATATTACTGACTTTAAATCAATTTTATCATAAGCATAATCAGTGGAGAACTGATAAAAATTATATTAATATATCGTAAGAAAAAAATATTATATAAAAAACAAGGAGTTACGACGTAACTTTCGATTTGACTGATTTTGAATTTCAAATTTGGCGCCAAATGAGGAAGTAAACGCTAGAGTCCATTTTTTTATATTTATCAAGTTTAATAACTCAATATGTTCCTTGAAAAATATTAATATACTATTTAAACAAGGAATAACAACGCATTTTTCAATTTGACCGATTTTGAATTTCGAATTTGGCGCCAAATGAGGCAGCGACCACTAGAGTCCACATTTTCACATTTATCGAGTTTAATATTCCTTACAAAGTACTAATATACCATTTCCATATAAAAAATCTAATTTAAATTGCATATATCTACTTTAAAGATGCAACATAACCCAACCTTGTAACATAACCTAACTTCATATCAAACTTTGGCGCCAAATTCGAATCACAAATACAAACTTCGCGCTTTATCCAAACTAAAAGACCCAAATATCACTGCTAATAATAGACTATTCATTAGCCATCATATGATTACGGAAATTGTTGTTCGCGCGCACTAAATAAATAAGTAGTTCCATTATTCAATTCATGTTTTCTTTAGCAGTACGCGTTTTGCAGTCGTCTGAACGAAAATACACGCGACGTACCACCGCCGCCCCTCGGGCTATCTAATTAATCGACCCATTGTCCCGTTAATTGCCTTTGAAAATTAAATCCTATTCTGCTTCGTTAAAGCTCGTTTCAAAGTCCCGATCGAGTTAGGCACAAATAACGCAAGTAATCTCGACGCTCTGAATGCAGCCCTGTTATTCGAAACTTCCCCCGCGTTTCGGGAGGAGAAAAAACAAACAATTTCTCGACAAACAGCATCGTACACAGAACGTCCAAACTTTTAATTTTATTTAAAAAAAAAAAAATTGTTTCAATATTTGCGATCAATATTATACATTTTGTTAAAATCTTTGTATAGTTAAATTAATATTAGTTGAATATTGTTGATGTGAAATAAAGGAGGTAATTCATTTAATAGTTGCATTAAGGTGGGATAATTTAATTATTAAAACAGAAGAGCTATAATTGTGTTGTAATATTGGGTGCGGCAATATATCGAGTACTGCAATATTGCAGTGGGTGAGACGATATTTCAGACGATATTACAGTAAATTCATGTTATAACACGTCAATGTCACAACGCTTTAATATCACAACGCAGCAATATCACATTGCGTTGAAATCACAACGCGTTAACATCACAGCGCATCAATATCGCGATGCGTTAATATCGCGAGGTATCAATATTACAATGCAAAGAAATTACAGCGTATCGAAATTACTGCGCGTTGACATCATAACGCATTCATATCTCAACGCGCTGAAATCGCAACGCGCTGATATCACAACGCATCGAAATTACAACGAACTGATATCACAATGCGTCGAAATCACAGCGCGCTGAGATCTCCACACGCTTATATCACAACGCGTCAAAATCACAATGCGCTGATATTTCAACGCATTGAGACTACAACGCATGGAATCCACAACGCACCGATATCACAACGCATTGAAATTACAGCGCCTTGATATCTCAACACGTTGAGACCACAACGCATCGAATCCACAGCGCGCTGATATTACAACGCGCTGATATTACAACGCGTAGAAATCACAGCGCCCGAATATCTCAACACGTTGAAATCACAACGCATCGAATTCGCCACGCGCTGATACCACAGTGCGTTGAAATCACAGTGCGCTGATATCTCAACGCGTCAAAATCACAACGCATGGAATCCACAGCGCGCTGATATCTCAACGCGTTGAGACCACAACGCATCGAATCCACCGCGCACTGATACCACAGTGCGTTGAAATCACAGTGCGCTGATATTTCAACGCGTCGAAATCACAACGCATCGAATCCTCAGCGCGCTGATATCACAACGCGTTGAAATTACAGCGCCCTGATATCTCAACGCGTTGATACCACAACGCATCGAATCCACCGCGCGCTGATACCACAGTGCGTTGATATCACAGTGCGCTGATGTCTCAACGCGTAGAAATCACAACGCATGGAATCCTCAGCGCGCTGATATCACAACGCGTTGAAATTACAGCGCCCTGATATCTCAACGCGTTGATACCACAACGCATCGAATCCACCGCGCGCTGATACCACAGTGCGTTGATATCACAGTGTGCTGATATCTCAACGCGTTGAGATTACAACGCATGAAATCCACAGCGCGCTGATATCACAACGCGTTGAAATTACAGCGCCCTGATATCTCAACGCGTTGATACCACAACGCATCGAATCCACCGCGCGCTGATACCACAGTGCGTTGATATCACAGTGCGCTGATGTCTCAACGCGTAGAAATCACAACGCATGGAATCCTTGCGTTGAAATCACAGTGCGCTGATATCTCAACGCGTCAAAATCACAACGCATGGAATCCACAGCGCGCTGATATCTCAACGCGTTGAGACCACAACGCATCGAATCCACCGCGCACTGATACCACAGTGCGTTGAAATCACAGTGCGCTGATATTTCAACGCGTCGAAATCACAACGCATCGAATCCTCAGCGCGCTGATATCACAACGCGTTGAAATCGCAACGCTCTGATATCTCAACGCATCTAAATCACCGCGCGCTGATATCCTAACGCATCTAAACCACAGCGCTGACCTCACAACTCATGAAAATCACAGCGCAAAAAAATCCCCTCACCCCATAACAGCGCATCAATGTCAACGCATCGAAATTACAGCGCATTTCTAATAAAATCCAACTAAAAATAAAAATAAAGGTATTTCTCCAAAGAAAACTTACAGATTGGTAAGTTTATGCGCCCCCTGAAAAGCTGACGCCTCAATACGAGTGATTTTGTTCCTCCTCAGATCCAAATGCTGTAACTCCGGCAACTTCTCAAACAGCCCGTCAGCTTTGATCTTATCCAGCTCATTGTTGGACAACAGTCTATATGCAAGGACAAAGAAAGCCATGAGACGACGAGAAAGTTAGAGTCTATCGTTAGCGTCTGATACGGCGAGCAATTAATCGCGCTACGGGGCGTCGATCCATTAAACGAGTTGGAATAATTTATTTCGAATAATAGCTCGACGTTCATTGTCCCTTTTTCTCGTTCCCCTGTCCCGGTCAGCTTTTAATCAGATAATTATCTTGTCGGTCGTTTGAATTAATTTTCTCGCGCGTAGGAGAACGGAGGGGGTCGAATACCGTTCTCGATTGATCGATCGTATCGATCTTTTTTACTTCTCAGCCGGTGTTCCGATTTATTATACGGATACTGCAAATTGAATCTCTTGTACGATGTGTGGAGTAATCGGTCAATGGAGGTCTGAGATTTTTGGGAGGTCTGGAGATTTTGGGTTATGATTTAATTATTCATTTTTGAAATGTGAATATACTTTGAACAGTATAAGTAGTGCTAGGGGTAATGCAAGACATTTTATGTAGCACTTCAAATGAAATTATTTTTGAAAACAATAAGTAGCGTCAGGTATGAATATTACAATTTTTCTTTTTTCAGACATGAAGATTTCTATTAGTACTACAAACAAAAATTATGTAAGACATTTTAAATAATTTATTAAAATTATGATATGTCAAATAACATCATGAACAAAGAATTAAATATTTGAAAATTTTAGATGGTGCAAGATGCGAACATTTTCAACCCCCTTTGAGACATGAAAATCTCAAGCAGTACTCCAATAAAAATTTCAAATAGTACTACAAAAATAAAAGTTAAATAACATCATGAACAAAGACTTAAATATTTGAAAATTTTAGATGGTGCAAGATGCGAACATTTTCAACCCCCTTTGAGACATGAAAATCTCAAGCAGTACTCCAACAAATATTTCAAATATTACAACAAAGATAAAAGTACAAAAATGCTGACATTTCAAAGTTGAAATAAAGTATGAAATTTTTAGATGCATCCATGAAAACAGTTGGCTATTTGAAGACCAAAGGGTGCACAGGGTGCAAAACCAGAGAGGTGAAAGATTAATTACACAGTAGAATTTGCTCGTAGTTGGTAAAGTACTCACAAAGTTGACGTGTAGATTGGCAGTTCCTTTGGTATCGATGTTAGCTTCTTGTTAGAGCAATCGACGGTTGCACCGTCGCAAACGCACGGAGCTGGACACTCTCCGGGCAGGATACACTCGCCCGCCCTCTTCGTCAAGAGCTCTTCGTCGCCTACATACAAACAACCGGATACAATCTACTTCAAACAACTCTGTCTGATCTGCCTTGCTCCTTGCAACCGACGAAACGTGCATTTCAGATGAATCAGTGATTAACTTCCTCTAATACATTCATTCATTTCTTACGCCCGTATGAAGCATGACACACTGAACATAATTTTTATTAAATTAAACATAATTTTTTTTTTCAAATTATTTTTCAGTCATTTTTTTCTGTACACAAGTTTGGAGGAAGGGAGTTATTTTAATTATCTATATGCAAATTTCTAAATTTCCAAATTCCCTAGATCTCAAGTTTTTTAATGTTAAAATTCCCTAGCTCTAAATTTATAAATTCCTCAATTCTCTAGTACCAAAATTTCTAAACTACAAAATTCCCTAGATCCCAACTTTCTCAATGTCAAAATTCCCTAGCTCTAAATTTCCAAATGTCCCAATTTTCTAATATCAAAATTTCCAAGGTCCAAAATTCCCTAGATCCCAAATTCTCAAATTTCTCAATTTCCAAATCCCCAAATTCCCTAGATTCCGAATTCCCAAAACCAAGAATTCTCAAATTTCTAAATTTCCAAATCCCTAAATTCCCTCGATCCCAAGTTTCTCAATGTCAAAATTCCCTAGCTCTAAATTTCCAAATGTTCCAATTCTCTAATACCAAAATTTCCAAGGTCCAAAATTCTCTAGATCCCAAATTCTCAAATTTCTAAATTTCCAAATCCCTAAATTCCCTAGATCCCAACTTTCTCAATGTCAAAATTCCCTAGCTCTAAATTTCCAAATGTCCCCATTCTCTAATATCAAAATTTCCAAGGTCCAAAATTCCCTAGATCCCAAATTTCTCAATTTCTAAATCCCCAAATTCCCTAGATTCCGAATTCCCAAAACCAAGAATTCTCAAATTTCTAAATTTCCAAATCCCCAAATTCCCTCGATCCCAAGTTTCTCAATGTCAAAATTCCCTAGCTCTAAATTGCCAAATGCCCCAATTCTCTATTACCAAAATTTCCAAGGTCCAAAATTCCATAGATCCCAAATTCTCAAATTACTAAATTTCCAAATCCCTAAATTCCCTAGTCCCAAAATTTCCAAATCCCCAAATTCCTCAGATCCAAAATTTCTTAATATCAAAATTCCCTAGCCCTAAACTTCCAAATCCCTATTCCCTAATACCAAAATTTCCAACCCCCAAAATTCCCTAATCCCAAAATGTCAACTAAGAATTCTTGCATCCATCTAAAAATTTACTAACATATTCCTTCATAACAACCTAAAAAAAATGAAAAAAATTGCGATCGACCATGGTTAGATTCACCCCCAACAAAAATGCACAGCGTCGATAAATCGAAGCCGAAGAGGCAACGATCCCTCGTTGCTGGGTTACCATGTTAAAGTCGCGGCGATAAATTTTGATAATGAACAACAGCGGCGATATCATTAAATTGAGCATCGGTGCATTTTCTCCGTCCTTCTCTCTCCGCCGCGTTAATTGAGTGTTGAATGTCATGTGCTTCGTGTTGAATATGTTTATGTATGAGTACGCGCTCGCGCGGGTGATTTATCATCGCATTATACGCCGCGTTACAAATTGTTCGCCACTATACACGTACGTAATTATATCAGTAATTTGCGTTCTCCGTTTATTAACAGAGGCCCACACGCTGCGTCGATTGGCTACTTTCTCCACGTGCTTTTGTCTTGTGGATACACTTTCTCTACTCGGGGTTTTAAACGTGCTCGAATAGCTTCGTTATGGAATAGCTTAGAATAGATTATCTGTAAAATTGTTGTAGATAAAATTATTTGTAGATGGTCATCTATACGTAATTTGTAGGAAGTTCATTTATGCATAATCATTCGTAGAATCGTTATTCTTATGTCGTTATATTATTATGTACAATCATCCACACATAGGTGGACAAGCATACAGAATCATCTACAGATAATTAGTTATCTACATATAATTATAGATATTCGATAGATAGTTGGACATTTAAAATGATCTAGAAATACGAGATTTAAAAACCTCCAAATGTATAAATTGAAAAACTCCCCACATTTAAACCTCGTCCTAACCTAACCGTCCACATAAGAAAGAATCAGCATTTGTTCCGTCCAATGAAACGAAACGAGCGAGCCGCAACAAAAGTGTCAGGCGCACATCTTGGAAAGAAAATTACAAAAACGAAAGTTAATTCTCGCAATGTCCGTTCAGGAATAACAATCGCAACCCGGTGCTTTCTTCCTTTTCCCGGTTGTATATTTCAGCTAATTGCACTTAGCCGCGCTGGATATAATCGCATTCAGCTTCCATGCGAGCAGCAGCTTCAGCAAAAGCTAAATGACAGCGGAAAATAAACACTTCGCTGGCACTGCTGCGACCCCTGTAGCCGCACATTACCGTTACGCCGCATTTCCGCAAACGAGAACTTACTCCTACTGGCCGGAAGTAAAACTTGCCCGGAGAACTTTTCCTAACTTCCAGCTTCTTCGAACGTCTTCTAGGAGAAAAAAATTTACGCGATACTCGCCGCCAAGTATTTCCCAACGAAATTTAGGTGAAACCTCTCTCGTTCGGAGACCTCTGACTTCGAGATTTTGAAGATTTTATAAGGGCGGGGTCGCGAACTTTAAAAAGTAATTTGATGAGGGAAATTTTCAGTCGACTAAAAAGTTTGCATTTGTTTTTTTCATTTTGTTCTTGAATTGGAACATTGGTTAAATATGAAACTGTATTTTAGAAACAAGATTTTTTTATTTCAATGTATTTAAGATGGTGCCATTATAATTTTATTCAATGAAATTAAGTCATTTAGTTGTTCATTTAATTCATTTCATAATTTATAATGTCATTTTATTTTCATTAGTGAAAAAGTTCACTAATAAAATTTTTAACCACTGATTCATCTGATTTCTTTTCGTAATAACCTCGTGCATTACCTTGCATCCACGTCCCAGCTGATATCGTTTAGAAGAAAAATATCATAGAAATCGAATCATGCTTACCCTTACATTTGAACTTGGAGTCCCTTATCGAATCGATCTTCCGCCTTTGCAATCTTTCCGGCAACTCGCATTTAGCCGTCGTTGTCTCGATTGGGTGAGCGTGAAGGTAAATGTTCAGCCATCTTAGATTGCAATCGCAGATGAACGGATTCTCCGCCAAATGTCTGCGACAAATTGAAAAATTTCGTTCGATCATTTTTGATCAGGTTACTTCACTCTGCTTAACCTGCCAATTCAGCTGTCTTCTCGAAAATATTTTTAGAAAATATTTCAAAAATTATTAGGGGTAGCAATAATTGTGTTCTGAGTTCAATTTGTGAGATTACATTTATAGATATAATTGTTAAGGTCAGATTTTTAGATATAATTGTTGGGGTCGCATTTTTGGATATACAGGGTGTCTCAGAATTAGTTTAAGTTCAATAGGAGATAGCTGACGTGATTCTGAATAAGATTTTCCTTTGTCAAATTGTGGTTTGAAGCTTCGTTTTTGAATTATTAAGAAAAAACGAGAAACAAACGGTGGGCGAGATTTGCGCGCGCAGCCACTAGGCTCGACGCTGTCGCTCTCGCGACTGCGCGTGCGTAATCCCCGCGCAGCCGTTATATTCGTGTCGCTCTCGCGTCCGCGCATGCGCAGTCCTCGCGCCTCTGCGCATGCGCAGTCTGATTGGTCCGCGCTTTTTCCTTAATAACTCAAAAACAGAGCTTCATATCTCATTTCTGCAAAGGGAAATCTAGTTCAGAATCACGTCAGCTACCCTCCATTGTACTTACATTCCTTGTAACACCAATATGTATTAAAATCACATCCTCAGATACACTTGACATTAGTTGACTTGTACTAAAAAATTAAGTGGCAGAATTTTTCATAATTACATTGACACAAGTTAACAGGTTAAGGTCCTAAACCGTCGCTCAAAATTTAATTTTACATAAAAATTGCAAACTCTTTTACCACAAAGGATTATCAAAAGCAATAAAACACTCCTGAAACTAAAAATAATAAAATAAGTGAAGTAAAATTGACAAGAAGATAAGAGATAGTGATTAATATATCGCAGTAACTGTACCAAAAATGATAAAAGTAACAATAGACGCATTTCTGGTGTATCGTAACGAACAGGATCGATATCGTGACAGGAAAAAGGAGTGCGAAATGAACGAACAACGGTGGTTCGAATATTCAGGATCAGAGAGAAGCTCGGAACAACGAACGAACACGCGTTTGCAATTCGATCCTGTTGCGAACGAAAAGGGCTCGAAGCGTTAAAGCCGCGGTAATTTGTATAAATTAACGGTTCAGTGGCGGGATACAAACAGCGTTTGAATGCTTCGTAGATTGGCGAAAGTTCCATTGGCCAGGGATCTGATGTTGTTATCGTACAACGACAACACAGTCAGGCCGGTCAGATCTCGAAACAGATCGGTCCGTATGCAGGATATCTCGTTCGCGTTCAGCAGCCTGAAAAGTTCCATTCGTTTTATCAATTTCTTTTTTTGGAGGAGGAAGTTCTGTTGTGGTGTACGGTTGTCAACCCATGGGTTGGCGCTTGAGTCGTAAGAGGAGATATATTCATTGTGAACACTTCTGGTGTTACATTTAGACAAACAATTGTAGATCCTTACATTTATAAGTAAACTTTCTAAAACTCTACGTTCTTAAATCAACAAATTCTTCAAATTTCTAAATCTGCAAATTCTTATATCTCCAAACACTTAAATACTTTTTCAAAATCCTTAAAAAAACTTACAGCACATGTAGGTTGCTCAATCCTTGAAACAAACCGCTGGGCAGCTCAGTGATTTTGTTTCCATACAAAACTCTGAAAAGATAGTTATTTATTTAACTTCTATACACGATTTTTATCAAATGCATCCATGAATTTCATACGTACAGTGTTTCTAACGATTTCAAACCGTGAAACGCATCCGCCGCCACCTTTTTTATTTGATTGTTGCTGAGGTCGCTGTTGACCGTCAATTGGGAACAAAAACAAGGGAATATCGAGCGTTAGTAGAAAATACACGAGGCAAAGGGTAACATTAATTAAATTAATTACGAACGTCACTCACATTCTGTGTAGTTTTCTGTATGGGGAGAAGGCCTTCGGCGGAATTTCCGTGATGCTGTTCTGCTCCAAACGTCTGCAAATGATTGACAATGAGGATTAAGTAAAAAACTTTGCGTCGAATTATGAATCTTTGGGTTACTGTGCAGACATTGCCTGAAGCGGGGAAAATGTAGGAGACATGTGGCGAATTAATCGATTTTTAATTTTTGGGAATTTTTAAAAAAATTTCTATTATACTACATTTTAAAATGACAAATTCAGAGAACTACGTTTTGAAAGCACAAATCCAAGTAGATAAAATTCCCTAGGAGCAAAATTTCCAAATTCCAAATTCACTAGTTCCAAAATTTCCAAATTCCCAAATTCTCCAGTTCCAAAATTTCCAAATCCCAAAATTACAAAATTCCTAGTTCCAAAATTTCCAAATTCCAAAATTTCCAAAGCCCCAAATTCCCTAGTTTCAAAATTTCCAAATCCCAAAATTCCTAGTTCCAAAATTTCCAAATCCCAAAATTCTCTAGTTCCAAAATTTCCAAATTCCCAAATTCCTCAGTTCCAAAATTTCCAAATCCCAAAATT